TCAAGCGAAACCCTAACCTCTCTCTCCGAGATGCCGCAAATAAGCTGGGTGTATCGTCTACAACCGTGCATCGAGCCAAAAAACGAGCCGGACTATCGACTTACAAGAAGGTAGTGACTCCAAATCACGATGATAAACAAAATACGACGGCCAAAGCGCGATCCCGGAGGCTGTACACGACGATGCTGACGAAGTTTGACTGCGTGGTAATGGACGACGAAACCTACGTCAAAGCCGACTACAAGCAGCTTCCGGGACAGGAGTTTTATACGGCAAAAGGAAGGGGAAAGGTAGCAGATGTTTTCAAGCACATGAAACTGTCAAAGTTCGCAAAGAAATATCTGGTTTGGCAAGCCATCTGTACCTGTGGCTTGAAAAGCAGCATTTTCATAGCTTCCGGGACTGTCAACCAAGAAATTTACGTGAAAGAGTGTTTGAATAAACGTCTGCTGCCTTTCCTGAAGAAACACGGTTGTTCCGTACTGTTTTGGCCGGATTTGGCATCTTGCCATTACGGTAAAAAGGCCATAGAGTGGTACGCCGCCAACAACGTGCAGGTGGTTCCCAAGGACAAGAACCCTCCCAACACGTCAGAGCTCCGCCCAATTGAGAAACACTGGGCTATTGTCAAGCGGAACCTAAAGAAGACCAAAAAAAACTGCTAAGGGCGAGCAGCAGTTCAAGGCAAACTGGCTTTCTGCGGCGAAGAAGGTGGACAAGGTGGCTGTACAAAATCTGATGGCAGGGGTCAAGCGTAAGGCCCGGCAATTCGGATTTGGAAAAGCGGAAGCCTAACTGAATATTTTTCCTGAATTTTATACTAATTGAACTTGAAAAAGAAATTTAATTTGATTTTTTAAATAAACGATTTCACCGATTTACACGCGTTTTCCCTTGACCAAATTTTGACCGTATCACCCTTTATGTAAGGACCTGGGACCGCGTTTTCCTGCTCAGTAAGCAGGCCACTGTAACCGACTATCTCTCAAATCCGAAAACTAAAAACTACGAAAAAGTACTTAGGCCTTCATTAAGTTCCATTTTCACGCGACGTTCAATGTTTCAATTTGCTCTTTACGTATTGTTCAGGCTATAAATAGGCCCTTTTCAAAAGTTACGGGAGAAATATGCACAATCGTCGCCTACCTCGCAAAACTGGTTCCAAACGACAACAAAGGCATAAGCAACGATGGATTGTTGAACTTTGCTGGCTGGTGTAGTGCACAGCAAAAAAAAAAATTTAACATCGATCAACGCAATTCAAGCTGATGTATGAAATAATGATGTAATTGTAATTTTGTAATTTATCAGCACACACCCTGGTCGACCACTGTAAACCAATCTGCCGTTAAGCTAGTGCGAGTACGAGTTAAGCGAGTTATAACGACCTTCTTCCACTAGCAGGTCTGTTTCTGTTTGCACAGACAGTCCCACTAGTTTCCGATACATTTATAGGGGATAGTAGGAGATTAAAAGAATGAAGAAGAGTTATAGAGGTTTTTTTGTAGTTGTTTTGCTGAAAAGAGAGAAACAGAACTAAACGAAATTACACCTGCTGAAAAAAGATAAGTCTATAATTTGGTTAGTGATCGTTTGGATTTGGGTCACCCCACGTTGTGTTTAGGTTAGTATAAATAAATAATACTATATAGTCATATAAATCACCACAGCTCATTATCTTCAGCGTTATCGGCGTTTCTGGATCTTTAGTTGCCTCTGTGATATACTTACTTGCGGCATACTATTTTGGGAGTGTATATGAGCGTGTACCATGTACGGTAGCTCATCTCTCATCGTGATGGTGGGACATAGTAGACAAATTAGAGAGAAAACAAGGAGGTATTAGTATTAGTTATATGTAAACAAACAAAACAAAAGAAGAGAAGAGGAAAGAAGAGCAGAAAAATAAAAAGGGGATAAAGAAAAGAAACGTAGGCAGATTATTCGAAAAGGCATTATCCGAGACTCAGCAATCAAATGTCACTCCCGCCGAGATCTCAGCGAAACCCCCTTCCCGCCGAGACCCACACAGCCGAGCTCGGTAGAAAAAACTAAGTGTGTAGATAGGTTAGTAGGAAAATAAATAAAACTACTTTATGACTCAAAGTGCAATGAATGAGCGTTAGTTTCAGGATCATTTCAGTGTTAGAGTTATGTTGGTTTTGATCCGTAATCAGCCCTGCCGGCCCCTCCAACATTAGTTGCAGGCAGTGGTTGTTAGATAATGCGGCACTGTAACTACTACTATTTTAGAGGTATGATTCGTCAAGTTTATACAACTCAATGTTTCAATTGAGCCAAACTATCTATCTTACAATTACAAAAGCAAACCTAAACTTACAATTATATGCAAATGCAAAATGAAACTTGACAAATCATCGTCAATCCCCTTATTCCAGGGCAGGGCCTGACGATTTGAATCTAATTTTGATCAGTGAACGGGCACCATATGGTACATTTTCTCACCATGAACCTATCATTTCCAGCCTATCTGAACTATTTAATAAATGGAAGCCATAACATGGGTTACGCTCCCCCTAAGCAGGCCCTCCGCATCCTGTCTCTGTCTTATCTCAAATACAAAATGCCAATGGTATGAATGTATCTATATATAACTTGGAAATGACGTACAATCAAATAAACCCGTAGCCCACTCACTTGGTCAGGCTTCAGAATCGTCCAGTGGGCAGTGCGCTCTACACGCCAAGTTACCTTTTTTTTCAAATTTACCGCAAATTTGATATTTTACCCATTGAGTGTTGATTAGTCACAATGAAACATTGTGAGAGAAGTTGAGGTTACTAGTGTATTAAATAATCTAGGTCCTATTTAAAATTATATCTGAAAAATCCAAATCTGGCCAACGCCCACCCTAATCCTAAACCTGTTCTAATCCACCTGAAATGACTAACGAATGGAAGACTTTGACTACCCAGCCATGCAATAGTCTCATTCCGTGCCTTATGGCAACTTGATGATTCTATTGCGCTCATCTTCTGGCACCACCCAGGGGAGACTTGGTCCTGTACCCAATGCTTAACTTATCTCCATTCCACTCAGCTACTCGCAATTTCTTGTGATATAGTGGGCGGAATATTATTATATGAGACAATTCAATGCAGACGTCTTTCCAAATTTGGCAGATCGACAGGTAATCGGTGAGTTACCACGATAGTTGCTATTCAACAACTCGACAACGTTCCATCGTCAACGCATGCTATGAGAATTTCCCATTGCAGACGCCAACGAAATGACGTCATCGAGCTATCGATCAACTACCCTGGTTATCGCCTGGTACCTTATAGCACGATGCTAGGAGGCGAACCGGAAAAATCGATGAGCTACCTCCCCCCAAAAAAAAAAGTAGATTTTAATTCTAGTAATAAACTGTATTTGTTTTTGCGTTGTAAAAATGAAGTGAGAAATGCTCGCTGCACATCTTGGACTTTAAGTGTAAAAATTCATTGGTATTGATTCAAATGTTAAGATTTACCTACTCTTTGCATATCTTTAGTAAACTATGATCCTAATCTATCAATTACTTTAAAGAAAAACAAATTGCAACAACTGAGTGAATAGTTATTATCAAATGAGCAGTTGGTGTGTACAACTGTGCATGTCAAGCATGGTTATAAATAAAAAGCGTTAAATCTTCTAAATTTACAATAAGAGTGAAAATTGTGATAGTGATGTATAAGGCTAGCATGTTACAAAAAGGTTAGTCCATTAAATTCATGCAATTATCAGGTTTTTTGATGACCCCCGCAGTGTAGATTTCCGTTAGTGCAATAATACGGCAAGATCATGGCGCCAAAAGAGCAATAAATGTTCAAAAATTTTCCCAAAACTAGGCAATTCATTTACGGATAACAATTTCAAAGCAGATGTGGTAATAGTTTTTCACTATTAGCTAGTATTATTGCTGAATGGATGAGTTATTTGCTTGATAGGCCGAAGTGAGGGGCTAGGCTGACATTACATCCCATAACCCTACTTCTACAGTTCGACAATCGAAACGTTGTATAAAACCAAATATGTCATATTAACAATATAATTCATTCATGCCTTTTCTATACATTGCAATGGCACACGAAAAATATTGCGTCACGCACCATGTAGCGTTGAAAAAGGCTAAGAACAATCATACAATTACAATCGAGGGGCGCGAGTGTAGCACTTAATACAACAATAAAAGTCAGATAATTTACATTAATTACATTTTGTATATTACATGAAAATTTATCTGACGTGTGTCTGTTTTCATAATATAAAATAATATGCTGAAATACAAACATTTAAATTTTATACAAATTTTTATTTGGATTACCCCTCGTAAAGATTAACAAATACTTTGGTAGCCTTTTTGGTCACAGAGACGCTTTCATCGCTGGAAAATCGGTTAGCCAGCAAAGCGAAAGAGTGGATCATATTGTTAATGTAATATATTTGATAAAAACCAAATGCTTTTAATACATAAAGGTTACTGAATCTTCTCAAAAAAAGGTATTAAGGTTGTTCTAGCAAGTTTCACTTAAAGGTTATCGAAAAAGTTTCACTTAAAGCTTATCGAACTTGAACTTTTGAAATGTTCATCTAGAACGGTACCTAATTTAATTCGGTAGTCAATGATATATCGTGCTGAACTTTTTTTTTTACTTTATTAAAGTGATTTGGGCGATGGGCTGGTTAATCATTATTGTTACGAATTGAGATACATACCAACAAAAAATTACTACAATCCCGGTCAGATTTGCGATTAGGAGGCAATTGCTTTTGTAAACAATGACTTCATTCGCCGATTTCTCGCGAATAAAAGCTGACTCTAAAAATCCTGCTTTATCAACTCAGGCGTAATATTTGAAAACGACACAAAAGCTTTTGTAGACAAAAATTGTAAGGCCTTTTGCACGCAAACCAACAACATCATCGATAGTGCCGTTTTCAAATGTTACGCCTGATATCATAGTTTGTTTTGCATACTATATTCTATAACCATTTACCTTTCATCCAAAGAGTCTGAGCTTTGCTTCCCTTTATGGTTCTTTCCGGAATTTCTTCAACTCGGAGACGCACACTTGCAGCCGCTCGTCCCGCGAGTTTGCTCTATCGGGTTTTGTACTGATAGGCACTAACTAGGAATGAACGATTAATTAACCTGCTACCTTTCCTTCCACCGAACAACACCCGGAACACTGGGCTACCCAAAGAGGGCACAAACACGCCAAAAGTTTAACGACTGCACATGCAGGTCAAAATAAAGGTGATGTATCCGAACGAGGACCTGTTGGCCATAGTTACCACCACTAGCCGACTCCACCACGTTAATCCGCGTTTCTTCCAGAACACTCACAAACGGTAGGCCAACACTTGCACACGCAAACACAGCTGATCTCGCACTGATCGCAAATTAATAATAAAAAAAAAATCTCTTTCTCCTCTCCTTGTTCGCTGTTCTGCGTTTTGCTCCGCATAGAAATCAGCGATTTTTGCTTCACTCTTACCGATCGGTAATTTTTCACTGCTCAAATGGACACACTTGTTTGTCGCTATTTTTAGTGCATTCCTGTGTCCAGTTTGGATTATCGTACTTGGTGTAACCTTGAAACCCTGTGTATTTATCCAATCGTGGACGTTGGACAAAAACAAACACGGTAACTGTGAGCTACTTAGCCGCAAGAAAATGGGCTCGATTTTGCCCGTCAACGTTCCGATCCGATCCGATGATGACGTTATATCACTCTGTAACTACTCCCCCACTCCTACTTCTTCTAGATAACGATCGTTCTTCTGAGCACGGCGATCGAATATTTTCGGAATTAGCACACTTACACAGCGGACACTACCTACTGATTCGACCGACAACATACAACACGGAAGAGATTACTGTCTTCGTTCTTAGTCCAGGCACTACTGATGAGGCCATGAGGGACAGCGCAGCCGGAAGGAGAAAGATCCTTTTGCTCGTTCGTTCGTCGGACGATGATAACAGGTTACGGATGGTACACGCTGCTGACAAATACAACGTACCAACACTCTGGACCTCGGAGAGAACGTTCTCCGCATTAATCACTACAGCAACTGATAACGGCTACAAACCAATACACATGGTGCTGCCACTGCTTGTGCTGATAAAGATCGGAAAGGCTGCTTCCAGCAGCTTCCACACACAAGAATATTATTAAATTCACTCAACCCTTGACGGTCGAAAGGGTCGAAAGTTCGATCACAACTTCTTTTCGGAATCGCGGAGAAAAGATTATGCACTTTACGTACACAATCACGCGAGTCGCGACAAAACAAATGCAACGTCGTGTCCAATCTGTCAAAAATCTGCAATGCACGCTGTTTCTAAACGCCCCAAATATGAGTAAGAGCTACTCATATGCGTTAAATGAAGGGCTATCCAAAACTGAGTACACAAAGTTTGAACTGACAGGATGACAAATGAACAACAACGTTCGGATTCAGGACGATGTTGTCTCCCGCATAAGCACGAACCATAAATTGACCTTACCTAAAATGGTTAAAATTGTTAATAATCCCTGCTAAACTTCAACTGAAATGGTTATGGAACTTTACATGAACGTTTAATGATAAAGTTTTAACCTTAAGTATTATAGTTTTTTGGAAGTGGATCTTACAAATAATGGGTTGTTAAGAACCATTACCATTCAAAATTCTTGTTTTCTCCATACATTTTCGGAAAGAAAACTATACTAAAACCTTTTAACTTATGGTTTGAGAACATTAATGGTAATGGTTATGGTAACCAGTAAGGTCCATGAATGGTTTTGTAACATCGATCAACTTTATGTGGAATATATCGCGAATTGGTTGCCTGTAAATTTCTGATTACCAATTCACGATATATTTCACGTAAAGTTGAGCGATAATACAAAACTGACTACCATAACCATAACCATTAATGTTCTCAAACCATAAGTAAAAACGTTCTAATATAGTTCTCTTTCCGAAAATGTATGGAGAAAACAAGAATTTGGAATGGTAATGGTTCTTAACAACCCATTATTTGTAAGGTCCGCTTCCAAAAAACCATAATACATAAGGTTAAAATTTTATCACACAAACGTTCATGTAAAGTTCCATAACCATTTCAGTTGAAGTTTAGCAGGGATTATAAACAATTTATAACCATTATCGGTAAGGTCATGTGATGGTTCGCGTTTATGCGGGCTATTTGTCATCTTGTCAGTTTCAAATTTGTTTACTCAATTTTCGGTAGCTCTTCTTTTGACAGTATGAGTATATTCTTCTCAAATTTGGGTTGCTTAGAAATATCGTGAAGCGGAATGACACAAAAGTGCATCGCATCAGCTTGGTGAGGGGGATAGGAATGGCAGCTAACGGGGTCCATTCAAATATACCGGAACGCACTAAAGCAAGGTGACTACATATAGGTGTTCTAATGTGTCATATTCATGATTCAGCCATGTTGGATTTTTGTATGGGACAGCGACCGAGTTTGTTTACAATTTGCTCTAAAACCGCACTTCCCCCCCCCCCCGCGACCTCCTCGCCTATATAGTGACAAAGCTGTATCACTATTTATATACCCACCATGAGTAAAAGTATGGACGACTGTCACCACAAAACTGAAAAAAGGTGTTCCAATCGAGCAAAGCGGCGCATTTTGACGGTTCGATTGGAACAACTTTTGACAGACGGGCTGAGTGTACACGCTTTTTCAAAACTACCTACCCATTACTGCCCATAATCCCATATCAGTCCCATATGGAAAAAGTAGGCATTTAGAAAATGGCAGTCGAAGTTACAAAGTGTGATTCCCATGTAAATATTTGAAAAATCATAGTAAATTAAATCTTTTAAATTTGTCGAACCTCTTACCGGAATCCCTTTATGAAGAGCTTTGAGTGTGTTGGTTTATTTCCTTTAAATACCATTATAATTGCTTATCTTTTGTCAGATACGCGTATTTCGTCAACTACTTGCAGACGTCATAAGTGCCAAGTACTTGGTGTTGCGTACTTGGCACTGATGAAGTCTGCAAGTAGCAGACGAATTACGCGTATCTGTCAAAAGATAAGCAATTATAACGGAATTTAAAGGAAATAAACCAACACACTTAAATGTACGAATATGTACTAGTCTACGTTGGTTGACGAAATAAATAAATAAATAAAAAGTTCTTCATAGTAAATTTATTAATATTTTTTTCAAGTTAAAATCAGTTGCATAGAAGCTTGCATGTTATGTTATATCAGCGAAAAATATGGCCACTCGAAGAGCAGAACTGTAACTTTACCTCTGGATGATTTAAAATTTAAGGATTATGCGATTATTTTGCTTAATACGACAAACTGACTTGATGTTGTTTTCACATTTTTCATTATAAAAGTCCGTAGTTTTATCACATAATATGACAGTAGATGCCAATTGACAGTGGATAGCGTTGTTATCTCAATATTGACGAAAATCCATATGGGACTGATATGCGATTATAGGCAGTATACACACAGACAAACAGACATAACACATTGAATATTTCTCACTGTAAAACATCGTCGCTAAAACATTACCGCCATCTGTTGAGTACACTGTGGTGGGTAGTACGCTGAACAGATGGCGGTAATGTTTTAGCGACGATGTTTTACAGTGAGAAATATTCAATGTGTTATGTCTGTTTGTCTGTGATAATAACTTCACTATTTGCTACTAATAGTACGTTCAGACTACAGAGTTACAACATGTTATAGCGCTATATTGATGGTGGTTTCTGTGTTGCAATGATTTGACAACCGTTATAACATGTTATAACTCTCCAATCTGGAAAACCCAATTTGACCCAAGGGCACATCTACAGGCTCCTAAATATTTGCTTCAATTGGGTTGTTTAACTTCGAAAAATATACCGATTTTTATACATCATCTGATAGAGTTTCGTTTTCTGAGCACGATATTTTTATCGATCCCGTAAACATTCATCTCGATTTTTTTTTTGATCGTTGACACTAAATCTATTCTTTGACAGCTCGCTTCCATACAAAGTCCCACCAAGGGGCGCTAAGATGGTGATTTTTGGTAATGTAATCGTACTTATTTAAAATAGTTCCAGTGTACCAAAATTGATGAAATTTTGGATTTCGGTTCCATTGTTAATGCAGATACCGAATATGTATTAACCTTAATAACCCCACCACACAATTTTTGAATATTTAAACATGATTTGAAAGATCAGAAACATCTATAATAATAGTCATCAGGATTATATTTTAGAACAAGCATGTTCTTAAAGCAAGGCACAAAAATGATTTACTGAAAAATAAAATGATAAATCAGTCTTACAAACTACATAATATCGAAAAAGTATACTAACAAAGAAAAATCAATAACACCTTACATAGTCAAGTTCCTACAAAAGTCACAGTTCGGGCAAAACACATTCAACCATCCGAAGCTGCAATCCGATGCGTCCGGCTCGAGAAAAAACTGTACCTCATCGTTGCACCTTATACCGTGCTCTTCAAGCGCCCTCCGAATAATCCTCCCAATCTGATCGATTCCACCGGAATGCTTCAACTTGATCCCACACGAGCACTGTACAAAATCTCCCTCCTTCGCTTTAGCGAGCTTGTCCCTCTGACAAACGGGACAAAACACGACCTCTTCCCCGTACTCGTCGATCATGTAACATCCGGATCGTTCATATTCTTCGAACAACCATTCGTCCGTTTCCGCTATCAACTCCTGGAAGATCAGCTCCTGCAGTTGGATGTCCTGCTCTAGCTCGGATAGCTCTTGGCGAACAATCGACTCGAGGAGAGCCTTTTCCTCTTGCACAATGTTTCGCTTCCGAAGCAACTGGTCACCGCGAGCTTCCTTGATGCGAAGGCGGCATTTCTGAAAGTACCGGAATCAACATGTAATAGTATCAATTATAAGCTTATCGAAGATTTACCTCTCGCATCATGTCCACCAGCTTCGGAGAACCGTACTTAAATCGATGATGGGCAGCATTTTTCGAACGGGTTTTTTGGGCGATGCTGGTGTGGTAAGTTGGTGGAGAATTGACTAGTTCCATTTTAGCTCAACGAAGACGGGAAACACTGGATGTTTGAAATTCGAATCGAAAATAAATTTATGAATTATCCTTAACACAAAAACTGAACTTAATTGTAAAAGGAAACAGTGATTTTGGCGCCGATTTAAATACAGTCTCTGTTGTGTTGTTGTGTATATTTTTTTTATTTTGGATGGCCGCCATCAGCTAACTTTGACATTAATGTCAAAACATTGATGTAAAAGGGCTATCCTCCATGGAGCTAACTTTGGAATGAACTTCGAGGGTTAAGCTCGCGCACACAATCAAATGACGATGAAAACAACTCAATATTGAGTTGAATTCAACTTAATTTTGGGAAAACTGGATTAAATCCACAAAGTGAGTAACATTTTCCGAACTTTTCCACACTGATAAATTAAACATTCTCATTTTGCTTGAAATTTAATCAATTTGACATTAAACTTAGCTTAATCGTATCGAATGATTAGAAATTAATTATCTCTTGCTAATAAATAATCATCTGATATTAAACCCAGTTATGGATAGTATGTATAGGATGGATATAAATGGATAGGATTACGTCTATCGGCAACATATAATTGTTCTTCAGTACACAACGAAAGGCTGCCCATAAGCAGTGAGCTGTAGCCCACGTGAGCGTCCATTCACTGAAGAAGGAGCAAGAAGCCACACCGCTACTGATTGGATTCAGCACCTCTTCGCGAGTCGCTGTGACCCATCTATTCCTCTCGTTCCAAACAACATACAATGTTGAACACCTAATAGCTCAGCATTACTCAACCCTCACGACATAACGGTCCTTTGCAGGACCACCATAAATTTGTCAAAGAGTATTTTCTGAACATTTGACAAGGTCATCAATCAGATGTTAGTTTCCATAAGTCTAACATACCATGTATTTTTAAGCTAGGTCTGGCAAAGACGTAATGATTTTTGAACCAATTTGAACTGTCAAAATCCAGCCAGTTTTACTGAGTGAAAAGTCAACCGTTATTTTATCGTCATGATTATGGGACAAACCAAGCTGAACCTTGCATTAGGTTCTAAGTAACATTGACATATTCTCTTCGTAAACTTTCTCTTTGTATCCCCACCGCCATGTAAAAACATTCCTAGGAATTTTCAGCACACAATTCCAGAAGCTTTTATCTAGCATCTTATACGACAAACACAACAAAAAACGGTTATGTGACGAAAGAGAAATCGACGAACAGAATCGATCAATGCTACTCAGGACCTAATGCAATGTTCTGATTGAAATACGTATTTTCTGGGATAATTAAATTATTTAGTTAAAGTTAGATAGAATTCTCATCAATTATCTATTCAAATGGAACAAAATTATCAACTATTCTTTATGTTCAACTTCTGTATGTTTTTCAAACGATATAAATGAATTAATTTATCATCATACATATCCTGAACATTAACTTTTTCAACATTCACTAGTTTATTTGTTTATTTGTTTATTTGTTATGTTTGCATCAACAGACTAGAAATAGTCCCAATGATGTGTTGTAAAAAAAGTACAGGTTATACAGACTACATATACTACAGTTACTACAGTTACAAACGAAAATAACTACACAGTTCGAAAAAGTAGTGTAAATTTATGTTCAGTATGATGCACATAAATGGAGCGTCACATATCACATAAGTTTACATTACATATCATGTAAAATTCTGACACATTTCATGTTTACAAGTTGCTCGCTTGTGTGAAATGAAATACAAGTTTACGTGAATGAATTTTACATCACTCTTAAAATTCAGGATTTCAGGTCTTAAATTTTACACTTAGCTGTTGGGCATCAAGCGCCTTCTGTCAGCAAAAAGGCAGAGAATCTTCGGCGAAGCATATTCCGTGTCAAGTGGAAATCAAACATCGACGCTACTGGGTTGAACACTCGCTGCAAGCCGTAAATAGCGCTCCCTAAGCTATAATTAGTTCGAAGAAGTGGAAGTCTCAGCATAAGACTGTTGCGTAGTGATCGAGGTTGAACATTAATGTTCACTTGTTGTAGAATTGCTTCGCAGTCGATTCTTCCTTGCAGAGTATCCGCGACGGTTAAGGCTCTGAAAACATCTCTTCGGATACGTAAGGGCTCGACATTGATCAATTGGCAGCGATTCTCGTAGCTTGGAAGACGAAGTGGGTATCTCCAAGGCAGCTTACGGAGCGCGAAGCGAAGAAAACGTCGTTGAACAGATTCAATTCACTCGACCCCATTATCGTAGTTCGGGCTCCAGACTGCAGAGCAGTATTCCAACGTAGATCGTACGAGAGAGCAATAGAGCGATTTCAAGCAGTAAATGTCTGTGAAGTTCTTAGTAATCTTGAAGACAAAGCCAAGCGTTCTGGACGCTTTGTCGACGACATACGATGTATGATCTGAGTATTTCAGCTTTGAGTCTAGAAAAACGCCTAAGTCTTTCACGCAATGCACTGGTTTGTAGTTGAAAATAGTCGGTTGTTTCTTGCGTGAGAAAGTAATAACTGTACACTTAGCTGGGTTGATCACCAGTCGGTTTAGACTACACCAGTCAGCAAAGATGTCAATCTGATTTTGGAGAGAACGGCAGTCGGCGAGTGAGCGGATGCGCAGAAAAACTTTCAGATCGTCTGCAAACGATAATCGTGGTTCTGTGATAACATGGTGAACGTCGTCGAAGTAAAGGAGAAATACCAATGGTCCCAGATGGCTACGCTGAGGTATACCGGACTTTGCGCAGAAGCTTGCTGAGCGACAAGTACCCAAAGTTACTGTCAATTGGCGCTCCGTGTGGTATGAACGAAACCATATCAAAAGATTTCCACCGATCCCTAGCCTATCAAGCTTAGCGATCGCAATTTCGTGGTTCAGCTAATCGAAGGCTGCCGTAAGATCTGTGTAGATAACGTCCGTTTGGGTCCGAGCAATCAAACTGTCTGTGATGTAAGACGTTAGGCACGGCAGGTTCGTAGTTGTGGAGCGCCCAGTTATGAATCCGTGTTGATCTGTACTTAGATATTGCTTGCAATGCGCATTTAGGGTCTCTATGACAACCAATTCAAAAAGTTTTGATGCAGCACTCAGCGACGTGATTCCCCGGTAGTTGTTAACGTCGCGTTTGCTTGCCTTTTTATGAACAGGAAACATATCCGCAGTCTTCCAGCAAGACGGAAAGATGCCGCTGGAAAGAGAGAGCTGGAATATGCGGCGCAGTGGATCCAAAAGACAAGTGATGTTCTTATTAATAATAATCGACGGAACACCATCGGGTCCAGCCTTAGTTGAAGTCTTAAGTTTAGATGCTGCTCTAGAAATCGTATCTGTAGTGGCTTCAACCATGCTGAGCGTTTGCTTGATCAAAAGAACATTACTGGCCGCGGAAGTAATGATATTAGCGGAGAGTTGCTCGTCTTCAAACACACTAGCAAATTTGGCTGAGAACAGGTTGCAAATGTCTTGTTGATTGCCAGCAGTTTCACCATTAAAAATCATGGAAGAGGGTAAGCCGACTTCCCTGCGTTGCTCATTTACGAAGTTCCAGAAGGATTTCGGGTGTGATTTTAGCCGCCGTTGAATCCTCCTTTGATAGCGTTGAAAACAGAGACGACTTAACCGCTTATACTCGTGGTTGAGTCTGACATAGAAGCATTTCAGCGGCAGTGTGCGGAGTTTAGTAAATCTTCTGAGAGCAGTCTTCTTAGTTCTTTTCAACGAGCGAAGATCTTTCGTCATCCACGGGATGATCTTTTTGGAAACGTGTCTGTCAATGACATATGCCAAGACGTGTGAAACGGTTTGGACGATACTGCGATGGTCAGCTCTACGGAAGTCATATGACACACCGTTTGGAGTGCTGGTGAAATAATGCACAATATTATTTTCGATCACAACAACTAAAGCAGGGTGATGATGCACTTCCTTGACTAAAGGTTCGGGTGCCGTGGAGAGGAAAGGAGCTGTATCACGAGCACTCACAAAGCAGAGATCCAGGGTGCGGTTGTTTTCATTCAACAGGCCATTGATTTGTGACATAATAGCGGTACTATAACCACAGACAAACAGACTTAACACTCGAAAATTGTTCATCGAACAAACATTTAACGGACAATTTAAAAGTATCGTAGTTGGTAGTACCGGCACCTGTGGCGCGCATAGTCAATTCCCTTGCGTTTGACGTTTACACACTACCGCCATCTGTTCAGCGTACTACCCACCACAGTGTACTCAACAGATGGCGGTAATGTTTTAGCGACGATGTTTTACAGTGAGAAATATGCAATGTGTTATGTCTGTTTGTCTGTGCTATAACTGTCCAGGAGCTGGATGGTTCGTACGTGGAAAGATGAACGCTCGTGATCAGGACAAAAGAAACCACTATCGTTTGGAGTCCATGTAATGTCCGGTAGGTTAAAATCGCCAAGAACAGTAACTTCGTCGGAAGGGCCTTCTTTGTCTGAAGCGGCCAAGACGGATCGACAATGTGTTTCTATAAGCTCCAAGTCACGGGTTCGATCTAGAGGGATGTACACTGCACAGTTGGATATAATCTGAGAAATTTTTGCTCAGCCTAAGGAAATATTGACGAAATAAGCTTCGGTTTACCGGTGTAGTGTAGTTGAAAAAACGAACAACTAGGTACTGCCGTTACAAGAGAGTCATGCACAGATCATGCACTGATTTGCTTTGTTTACCAACTTGACACAGAGGGGTGGCAATCGAGGGAGGGACTACACACTCAGCGACCTTTTCCATGTTCGGTAATTTTTAATTTTTTTGAATATGAACATTTACGGAACAGTTCTGTAAAAAATTACTGAACCATTCGTTAAAAAGTTACCGAATTGTTCGGTAATTTTGACAGCTCATCAAAAAATCTGTTTTACGATCGTTCGGTAGTCATTTCGTTTACCGAACTGATTACCGAGCTTTCAGCTGTTGAAAGTTCGGTAAAAAATTACCGAATACGGTAATAATTTTTAAGTGTGTACGATGTGTCATCGCCAGACCTAGTTTTTAAGGCAAAATTGCACACCAAGTTGTTTTTACAGTTGTCGGTAAACATTTTACTGACTTTCAAACAGCTGAACATTCGGTAATCAGTTCGGTAAAAGTTTGGTTTACCGAACGATCAGTAAAC